TAACCCTAAATAAGAATAAGAAATAGGATCAAGAAAGAATGCCGACGTATGGGACAAACTTTCAGCACAGTTTATGAACACCATAAAACCAGTTTAGAGTTATACCCTTTAACGAAAGACTTCCAACTTTTCTTTCAACCCCTTAAACGAGATTCACATATTTATATATGTATATTTACATTTACAGGCGACTATCAAACAGATAAAGGTATTGGAAGCGCTTATTGTGTTTATGGAAGCGTAATTCTTGTATAGAGATGAGAAAATAATTGCCTTCTGCAAATACAGTTTTCAAGCAGAATTGTTATTCGAAATCACACCTAAAAGGACATTTAGAAACATATCCTTACAATGGGATATTTATGCTGGAATCCAGCATAAATAAACGCATTCCTTTCTTCCAAATACTACCCATGAATTTCTCAGCAACCCTAGTAGCATAACTCAATTCGCAACGAGACACGGGCCATTTCCAGCATATCTCGCCAGATTTGGCCAATATTTCAGCGACAAGTGTTTTTTTTTTTTTTTTTGTGGACAGTATGGAACCGCAGATCACTGCATGTTTGAATGTTAGCATATTTTGTTTTTCCACTTCAAGAAATATGCACAGGAGCACCTTAAGCCTTGGTTCTTACAAATTTTGGACGATAAAAACCACAGATTCTCGTCCAGTATCTTAGCATTAATTCAGATAATTTAAAAATTCCCTTTTAAATTAGCTCAATCTTTCCTAACTTCACTTCTCTAATTGCCCGACTCCTAGCATCTAATGCAATAATTCATAATAGAATTTTGATTTAGTTCAGAAATTTGTAGAATTTGTTAGCTATACGGTAAAACGTAAGAAACAATTTGCAAATAGCCCTTTTAAATGAAAGATGAATAGAATCTTACAGCATAGAATATTTTGCTACACTTTCGGTTCTATTATCTATTTAACGTAATGAATATATTTCAGTGCACTTTGTGTTTGCGATACTATTTTGTGTTTCACATTTGGTTACGTACTACGATGACCGCAAATATATTATGTAAAATTTCTAATATGCAAAAGATGTTTCTTTCATATGAAATTCATAAGTAGCGAGAAATTAATAATGGAATATGAATATAAATTAACAATGTGTGACATATCATCTGACATATAAGTAGCCTTTGTAATATGCTGTGGAAATTATTTTGGTTATTAACAGATGGCGTTAAACGCCGTGCGTCAGTGGCGGCTCGTAGCTAAAATTAGTGGGGGTGCTGTTCTAAAAAAATCTAACCTTTGCTTTAAAATTGTGTAAAAGGAAACAAACATGTATAAAAAGAAAATTTATTATGAAAGCTTACGAGAAAAAAAATCAAACATTTCTTAATTACTTTAACCTAAACGTTACAGTTCAATCTATATCTATTTATTTAAAAATGAAATCCATTCTTCTTGTTTTAATTTGCGCGAAAAGATCAATAATTTTCTCCTTGATCTCTGGTTGACAACCAAGGAAATTTTTTTTATTGAAAGCAATGCAAGCGCATTTAGTCTTTCCGAATTCCTAGTGCTTCTTAGAAAAGTTTTCATTCTTTTCATTGTTCAAAAGCAGCTTTCTGCCTCTGATGTAGTCATGGGAACTCTCAAGAGAATTTTTATCAGTTTCGTAATTTCACTAACAACATCATCTACATTATTTTCGAAGATAAATTTCAGTAGCTCAATTAATTTGCAATATTCATGGATATCAGACCTGCAATAGAATACTTTTAGTTCGGTTTCAAGCTTTTCTTTGTCAATCATTGGATATGCTTCAGTGGTCAGTACTATTTCTTCTGTAGAATGTTCATTCCTAAAACTAGAGAAGCATTTCTTGTTAAATAATTTAGCAGCTGCTAAGTATTAGTGGAGAAAAATATCTGTGCATTATACCAATACATAGTATAAAATCACATATTTCCTTAGCTTCTGCCATCAGTGTCTTTGAAAAATTATCACAGTACTTTGAGTTTCTTAATTCTAAAATAGCAGTTTTGAAATTTAACTTTAAACACACTAATTTTTTTGGATTGCATTTAGTTGTATATTATTTCAACATGAGGCATAATCTCATAAAAAGGCTGTAATCAAAACTAGAAATTATCATCATTTAGATATTTTAAAATTCCTGTCGCGTTTGCAATAGTTAGATTTACATTTGATGTTGATTGAATTTCAGTAAAGCAATTTTTTAAAGGTTGCAAATTTTTATGAACTCTGTCCATGGTCCATATGATGAAATTCCACTTTGTGAAGGAATACAATACGCGCGGAGTAAAAAGAAATCACTTTCCCAACAAACACGCCAGAATTTCGGCACTGCAAGAGCGACATGACGCCCTGGCCCGGTGTACTGCTTTCTGTGTGCGCATGCGCAGAACAGCCAAATACCACGTCGCTGGAACTGTGAAGCGCGCAGTTCCAAACCTTTTTCACAAACTGGGGCTGACATTAAGCTTAAGGATTATGTATTGTAAAAGTATAAAGACTAAAGGGCACACTTTATTAAATATTAAAAATTATAATAAGTGGAAATAGGGGGTGCTGCAGTTCCACAGTGCTCATTACGAGCCGCCACTGCCGTGCGTTAAACGTGACGTGCCTTTTTCGCTTCCTTGATATTAAAAAACCATATTCTCCAACGCACCTACTAAGTTACTTTTGATTTTAGACCCGAGTTAAATAGGAGCAATTAAGTTCCTCTTAAATGATTTCACTCTTTTATTGTTAGAATGTCTTCATTCTGCTTAATTAAATTTAAACTGAGCTGCTGATGAATGTAAATATTACGTAAACGTGAAACATCTTCCATTTTACACCATTTCACGTCGATAGTTCAGCACCTACGCAAAATGTGGTTCTTTAAAAGCAAGAAATTAATAGCGAACAGTAAGCGAAATGTCTAATGTATCTTTCTCGCTCCTCTATTCTTTCACTTTGTTTATAAATGTTTAGAAGTTGAATAATGTAATGTGCAACCTGAATAGGAAAGTGATAAGAAAGTGTAAAATATGAATATATATTTAGAGTGTGTAAAATGTGATTTTTTGTTGGACATATTAGGTAACTTTTGTAATATGTGAAATACGTTTCTTTAAATATGAAATTTCACAGGGTTAAAAAAATTAGAAATTGTATTATATAAGTAGAAGTGTGAAATTTGGGAAAGAAGTAGTAAGATTGTGAATACGTAGTTACCATATTTAAAATGTGATTTTGTTTTTGACATGCTGTAATAGTCTGTGTATCTGTGCTATGTCTTTCGGAATGAGCGTTCCCACGGGATAGGCAATAAGAGATCACATTTCACAGCTGAATTCCTGCCTAGGTATTCTCTGGTTTACTTTACTGAAATATTGGTAAATGTACTAGAACACTAAACTTTTCAAAGAAAACTAAGTCTAATGTAAAAGTCCTAACAATAAGCATCCGTTTAAATCTGTTTTACGCAAAGCTTGAAGTCTAGGACAGGGATGGGAAACTTTCACATTGAAAGAGAAATGTAAACGAAATAATTATTTTATACTACTATTAACTTTTCACTTGAAGATTTAAAGTTATTTCTTTCAGAAGTAAATGTTATGTGACATTAGCTTGTAAAGTTCCATCATTGACATTTAAATTATTATGCCGGTGGGAAGTTTTGGGCCAACTTCGTGTTAAATCAATTGTGTAGACTTTGGCTACCAGACTTAGTTTTAAATTTGAAATTGACTTTACTAGCCACAAATGGTGATTGATGTGTAAGCACGAGACATTCGTTTATGCTCAAGTTCTGATTTAATAAAATATTGTTTTGAAATCTTCTTAAGAACTTGAAGTTCCTTTCAGACATAGCGAGAATTCACTCTAACTCTGTTAGGAGTTTGGACTTAGCTTATGCTACCAAAGAACCTCGAACTCTGTAAAGTAAAAAAAAAAAAAAAAAAAAAAAAATCACAAACGCATAGATAAAATTTATTTTCAAATGCATTGAGCATGATACTATGTGATGAAAAAAAATATTTTAGTTTTAAGAAAAGTGAGATTGTAAATAATACACCAAAAATCTGAAATTTCTACCCACTATCCACGAGAAATACGTATTAACACTTCTGCTTTCAGTCATATTGTAATTTACTTGAAGAAACTTTTAAATTTCCTTTTAAATGTTATGAGTAAAACATTTTTTTTTTTTTAATTATTCCACTGCAAATTAAGAGCGATCTTTGCAAAGTAGCAGAAATGTGGAATTATAGTTTCTTCTCGATGAATCAGAATTAGTCAGTTAATATCGATTTAAAAAACACGAACTTGGATTATGGTTGTATTAAAATTATTTAAATCGCAATATATCAAAATATAGTGATGAGAGAAATAAATATTCAATTCCCTGTGTTTAAACTATTTAAATATTATTCCTAGTTTAAAAAAATGATTTCTACGATTTCAAAAATAATTATGTTGCTGTAATATTCAGAAGCTGATTTTAAAATATCATGATTGCTCGTAATCAGTTAATTTCAGTTCGGTAATATTTATAATGAATGCAAAGCTATATTCTGAAGATATTTGATCATGAAATGTTGAAAATTAGCAGAATGAAATGATAATAATAAGAACAACAAAAAAGGGCAAATAACTAAGCTGATAATATTTTTATTTTCACTCTTCCTTGAAATCTTAAATAAAGAGTAAAAATGACCGTAGATTTACCTAAGAATTAGCTTAGGTTTGTGTTTTAAATTGGTTAATTAAGGAAGAACTTTTTTCTAGCTTATGAACTCAATCGGCCATTTGTAAGGAGCGGGAGAGTATAGTTTGCGATAAATGTCTAACAAAAAGAATAGTGCATGGTTTTGTTATTTTTAAAATTATCAAATACACTGTTAACCTGCTAATCATAAAAAAATTTAAAAACATTGAGAAACTGCTTATTACCTTAACTGTGCATTAGTATTTTGATAAATTGTTTCTTTTAATCCGATTTACTTCTCTTTTGTAGTCGTGCTGTCTTGGAGCTCCATCAAAGTTCTGGTATTGATAACTTAGGAAATGTTAAATGGGATCTTTCTCTTTGTCTACTCGCGGTTTATGTTATTTGCTATTTTAGTCTATGGAAAGGTATAAGTACATCTGGAAAGGTAATTTGAATTTTTTGAAGTAAGACAAAAGTATTTTTATTAGACGCATATTTACTGATTTTTCTGTGATTGCAAACTATTGTGTTTTCAACATTTTGGTTTCAAAGTAAAAACTGTGCAAAACTGAAAATCTTGAAGAAAAACTTTCCAGGACTCCTGTTATATTGAATTAAATTTGTTCTATTATATTTACGTATTTCATACGAGATAATGAAATTCCAACTCCTGAATAACTCTCATTTAAAGCAGAAGATTTTAGAACCATTAAGTACTAAAAATACATTAAGACAGATAATATAATCCTAAGGCTGAAAGATGATTTCACAGAAATGATTTTTAAAAAGATGTTGGTATCAATAAATATTTTAAACTTGTTTAGGAACTAGTCAATGAACTATCTTCTCTTTCAAAAATGCATCAAATAATTCAAATTTGAGCGTAAATAAGCAAAATAAAAACATAAATTGTTTACATTTACTTATGTTGCACGCTTTCCATACTTGCTATATTAAAAAGATTCAATTTCATTTAAAACTGCACATTTCTGCTATAATACACATGCCTTTCATGAAAGCAGGAGGCACCATTTATAGCTTGCCGTTAATAAACCATTGCATATTCTTGTTACTCCAGAGCCAAAGTAAAAAGAAAAAACTCACACTATAACCCTTCTCATGTGGTTACTCCCCCGTGGTGACAGCGTATAAAGGACACCAAAAGTGTACTTTAAATTTTCTTTCTTTTCCATCCAATTTTATTATCTCTTGACATTCCAGCTTGTCGCATCACTAGCGGCTGAAATTCATGAATGTCATGACGCTCGTCTGGTTCGCACTTCCGGCAATGTACCTAATTGGAGGAAACTAACATTGGACCGGAAGTGAGAGAGGGAATAAAAAATGGTTCGGAGTGCCTTTTCTTGTAAGGAAAGAATTTTGAATAAAATGGATTCCCTTTTCTTGATACCGCTATCAAAACATTTTCGGAGCTTCATATTTTGCTGCTATTCACATTAAAGCCTCCACTAGGAAAATGATAGATTTTGAAGAAAATTTAAGGCTATATATATGCTTATATTAACAGCAAAATATAATCATAGAGACGAATAACAGGATCAGCTTATTTTGAAAATTAAATATTAACAAATGCGCGATTCTTCGGGCGTTGAAACGTTATTCCTAAATGTATCAGACTTGTGAATTTTATCATAAGCATTGAAATGTTAATCTAGCATTGGAATTTATTTAATTTGCAGTAATTTCAGGCTCCCAGTTTAGGATATCGTCACTTCGTTAAAATGGAATTGTTATGTAAAAATTAGACACATTGCTAACTATGATAAAAGAATATTTGTAGGAATGGAAAGAGAATTGGTACCTCACTTCAAGGTATTTTTCAAAATGTTTCATGGGTAAGAAATAGATAATATTATATGTGTAAGCAGTAGTTCTAGAATTAAGAAATTTTCAAACCAATATCTCAAAGAGGATTCTTAGACATTAATTTAACAGTAGGAATACCCGAATTCCCGAATAATTTAACAGTAGGATACCGAATTGAATGCATATCAAGTTTTACCATTTCTAAACCGTCCTTTTTACAATTGCCCTCACTTCAACTACCAAGAAAAACAAAATCAGATACGTAAAAATATCATTTTCAAATGATTATTAAAATCTTTCTTGATATTAGTACTCACCAGGTATTATGAAAAATAGTATTACATGAGATATTTCATTGTTTCACAAAGAAAGAAATTTCTCAAGTAAATTTTGTTATTCATATCATAGTATCATAGAGATTTCATTAATTTTATAAAAGTCAGAAGTAGGCAATGCACGAAATTTTACATTTTTTACAATTTCAAACTATACCATATACTAATTATGCTTTTGTAACTGACACCGAAATCGCAATTCACCTAAAAAATTTAATACAGACTAATAATCCAAGGTGTTTTGAAATTAATGCAGTAGTATACTAACTTAGACCAACAGAAGTATTGTACTGCGTTAATGGTTTTATTTATCCGAATTTCCACTAAATTCTAAAAACAGAACTGTAAAGAAAAGTTAAATATTTGCAGACAGAAATGAATATAATCTATTTATTGTGATATATGAATAATATTTTCCGATGAAAATTACATAATATATATGTCTGTACGACTGCTGTTATTTTATCCGTTTTAGATCTATAAATGTTTAAATGATCATTTTGAGCTTAAACTAGGTTGTGTGGTTTACCGCGCTATTCCCATACGTTGTACTTCTCGTGCTACTGGTACGTGGTTGCACTCTTCCTGGAGCAGCAGAGGGCATCAAATTCTACTTGACACCTGACTTTTCAGCTCTGGCTGACCCGAATGTAAGTATGTTATTATACCGTTATTACAGGTTATTTTCTTTTGTAATTTCCGTGGAAAATGCGAATATCTCAGCTCATTAGAAACATACAAACATCAAACATTTGTAGAAAAAAGGAACTGTATACTTCAGGGAAAAAAGGAGGTAAAGATCCGTGATACGAAAATATCTAGATGTTGCATACTTGGTGTTACTTTCAATATGAAAATAATAGATGCTTCAAACCATACTGAAATCAGAAGTTTGATTGGAAAATAAATTAGTTTCGAAGAAACTGTAGCCATCAAGATCTCCTGATAAAATGCCAGTTGACTTTTACTTGTAGGCACTTCTAAAGAAAAGAAGTATTCTCCAAAAAACTTCACTTATATTAAAATAAGACTATAATATTCGACTCTAAGTTCCTGTGGTCAGAGGTAACATATCCAAGAATTTTTGCTAGTATGCAAGCTTTAAATTTAATTCTGCCTTTAAAATGATGTTAAACATTTTCAGCGTTAAGGATATGCTTATCATGAACTAAGCTATATATTCATATCTGTGTATTTATATGTCTTTAATAAAATTCATGACTTTTGAGATATCTACATTTTCCAGAGATTTGTCATGAAAGAATCACCTTTATTAAATTTCCATTGAAATGATTTAATAAAACGACTTTTATAGCACTTCTAAAGAAATCTTCACTAGTGATATTCGTGTTTCACTGGCAATCAAAGAACGATTCAAGCGTCCTTCAAAAATGAACCAATCCTTTTCCATTTAAGTGCAACGTAACAAATATTCATTACAAAAATTTCTATACTTTATTTATATTTATAATTACATTTATTTAATATTAAAATATGTTAAGGGAGAAAATAAAGAGAAAGTAAATTATTTTTGTTTATTTATTCAAAGTTTAAAACATTTTGAAATATAATATTTAGCAACATTTAATTTTCCTCGCTTTTGAACGTCGGTCATTCATATTAAAAGTTTTCTTGTCCCGCTATTAAAGAAGTCCAGGTGTATTAAAATTTTTTGGATGACTCTTTCTTTTTCTAGGTAACTGAAAGTATAACAAATATGTGAATAATTTTTAAAAATGTCGTTGATTGATGAGATAATTCTTTTCTAACTTTTGCGTTCCCTTATATTTTCTATTTAATTTAGGTATGGGTGGATGCAGCGACACAAGTATTTTATTCTCTAGGCCCTGGATTTGGAGTATTATTGGCTTTCGCTAGTTATAATAAATTCCATAACAACGTTTACAGGTATTTTTATTAAAATATTATACTTAAAATTAAAATAATTAATTTTTACATAAAGCTAAAATATTAATATTAATGAGAAATTATCTGTTATCAACTAAAGACGTTGCTCAAAACAATTAGGGAATATTGTGAATTCGGTAGGAAGTAAGCATATAATAGAAACGTTTTTTAATAAAAATGAAATAAACGATGTTAAAAAGGAAAATTATAACGTTTACAAAATAGGGAACATGCAGATTTCGCCTATGATGACTAAGCGCTTTACATAAAGTTTAAAAAGTGACCTGCAGCATTCCTTCTATAGGAGGAGATTAAAACAATTGACAAGCATTGAATGTTTCGTAACGGTGAATACGATGTTTAAGCAAGATGATTTAGCTGAATCGGTAGCTTGAAAGGCCACTGGTCGTTTAGAGGCGGGTCAAACGCAGTCGGTTGTAGCGGAAGCGTTAGAAGTTTCTCAGTGTCCATTTCCAGACTATGTAATCGGTTTTTGGAAACTGGAAATGTTCGTCGAAGATCGGGACAAGGTCATACGCCTGCAACAAAACAGAATGAGGATAGGCATTAAACACTAATGTCCAGTAGAAACCGCAATATGAACGCCGTTTTCCTGCAACAGCACCTTCAGAGGGCTACTCGGTATCAGTTTCGACTCAAGGTGTTTAAAACCTACTCCACCATATTGATTTGTATGCTCATACACCTATGGTTTGTATTTCGTTGACACAGGATGACTGTGATGTTCGCAGAAGGTGGGCACAGGAGTATGTCACGTGGGTACGAGATGAGTGGAGTGGCGTGGAAAACAAGTCTCGCTTTAGTGTACAGCCTGAAAATACGCGGATTCTCATACGGAAAGATTCTGGTACTCGGAATACTCCTGCATTTGTCCATGAAAATGTCAAATTTGGCAAAGGCGTGATGGTCTGAGCCCGTATTTGTATCAATGGATGCACCGATTTACACATTTTCAGGAATTGAGCACTAACGGCTCAGCGATATAGGGATGAGATCCTCAAACCTATTGCGGTCCTTTACCTGCAGCAATCGAATGAAAGGCCACATCGTGTTCAGCTAGTAAACAACTTCGTTTTCAACGGAGGAATCCTTCTAATTGATTGACCAAGTTGTTTCCCAGATTTGAACCCAATAGAATATGTTTGGGGCATTCTAGAGAGGAAGGTTGCTAGTATCGTATCACGCCCAGAAATGATTCAGCAGTGTGAAAGCTGTCTTCTATAGGAGTGGGACAGAATACCCCATTCTCTCATTGATAACCTCATTCATTCCTGCCTCGTAAGTGTACGGCATTGCTTTTGTTCAAGGAAACTCCATACCCCTTTAAACTCTTTTGTATCCGAGAAACCCCAATTTTGTTTCTTTGTATAATGTGCACAAATTGTGCATTTTTGTTTGCTGGGGATTTTAGGGGACCCAATCGCCAAATCCCGGATGAGAAGAATCATCATCCATCACCCTTTTAGTTTGAGCGCCACTGCAGAGACATTAGGTTAATTGGAAAAACCAGAGAGATGAAAAATTAGCAACCGTCTTCGCTGGGAATCGAGCCACGGACCTCTGGAATACCGGCCCAGCGTGCAGTACCACTACACCACGAAGGCACGCTAGGAAGGAGGGAGAAATACCTTATAATCTTACAACGCCTATACATCATACTCGTATATCAGTCAGAAAACCTTTTCTCATCCACAGTTTATACCCAAAATATTATATATCCCCTAATTGTTTTGAGCAGTGTATACATAAAATTAAAAATTCAGTCTTCCTTAAACTTTTCACTGAAAAGCACTAGTATCATTGGAATACATAAAATTTAAGTTTATATATAACTATTATGGTTTGTATTTACCTAAAGTAACGTCAAGCGGGTGTGAGGAAAGAAATAGTGAAAGTAAAACGGGTGTCGGGGGGAAAAAATAAGGTAATTCGTTTCAATTAAAAAGAAGATATAGGAGAAATCAGTCAACCCAGAATAAGAAGAAAGCCTCTTAATTACAATAACATACAGTATTGTTAAAAATATAGAATTTCCCTATATGTATTTTGTGTTAAATAGAATTCTCTTAATGCCGTTGTTGATAGAGGAGCCCAGAGTAGCTGCTTGGCGGAGGAGTTTTTAGGAAGTATTTTAGGAGATACTGGGTGACTCAAAAGTCCGTTAACATTTGAAAATTCAATAATTCACGGAATAATGTAGATAGAGAAGTAAAAATTGATACACATGCTTGAAATAACAAGGGAATTTATTGAAAGAAAAGAAAAATTAAAAAAATAATAATAATAATAAAAGGCCAACATATGGCTCTGGGGACAAAATGTCAATGACGCCATATGAGAATCTTATATGAAATGAACTGTAGTGAGAGAGAGAATTAGTCCTTTCATGACTTTGTCACTGTTTTATCCTGGCCTCCGGATGTTGATCACGGTGTGATGTGGAGGAAATGAGTGGTTCTGTTATTCAAATTGCCAGTGTGAGGGATGCGAGGTACACTATTATGTTAAGAATCGCATCATTCCTAGTCTAGAATCAATGGTTTATTAAGTTCTTTGATAGAGTTCTGTTCAAAGATTATATTTCCTGAATCTTGTGGCTGCAATTAACAAGCCTTGTAGTTAACCATTAATATAGATACTAATCGAATGAAGGAAAACGACGTTTACTGCTATTACACTAGAAAACAGAAATGAATAGTAATTTACAACTCACATTAAATTAGTAAAATCTCTCTTTGAAATCCTTTCAGAGACGCTCTTCTAACAAGTGCAGTGAATAGCGCTACAAGCTTCCTTTCTGGATTTGTTATTTTCTCAGTTCTTGGATATATGGCCCACAAGGCACATGTTGAAGTGAAAGACGTTGCAACAGAAGGTAATTAATTCTTCTTTTCATTTTATATCCCCATTTGATTCATTATACTATTTATTTTAAATAAAAATGAAACTCAAGTCTTATGTTTTCTAAATTTAGTTCTGCTAAAGGTAACATCGGTGGAGAACCTTTAGCATCTATTGTAAAGACCTGATCGTCGTGAGTTGGTCATGCTAAGAGTTCAGATTTAAAAGTTGGATCATATGCGAAAGAGTCATAGAGAAAAGAGACTGAAAGAGCTCTGATATTGTAGAGACATTAGGTATTTTTTTTTGGAATCAGACAACATTGCGGTGGTAGAATGTTCGCCTGCTATGCGGGCGGCCCGGGTTCGGTTCCCGGCCGATGCACCACATATTACGGAGTAATTAACTATACGAATGCGAAGTTCGAAAAGCGAAAACAACAACTCACGATTCTTGTACAAATGCTATTTTTGTTTCGACGAGTTTGCATCAGTGGTAATTTTACCTCGACTTGGTATACAAAATACATGACGACATCTTTCGTTTATATTTAATAAAAACACCAAAATATGTCACAGTAATACAGACACATCGCAACGGCGAACCTACAATTATATAATGTAAACACACTGAAGAATTCTTTCGACGCAACAGCGCCCTCTATATTATGAAAAGTTCTAACAAATATCAAAGAACAGGCATCAAGGAAAGAAGCAGAAATATACGAAATTTGAAGAACATCAGAAACGAGCATCAGAAAGCACGAACATGTCGTTTTTAAAAAAGGTCCTTGAAAAGTTTCAAAAAAGTTACGGTTGGCTAAACCAATTTATAAATAGGCAGCACTCACCCAGTTGAATAATGCCTCCCTACGATATGTCAGAAGTTACTATAAGAACAGTAAGTAGAAAAAAAGATGATGTTTTAGAAGCTCGATATCAAGTAACTTTTTTTGTTGCGAAATGTGACAAGCCCATATTGTGAAATTCTGCATCAGCTACAAAAGATATATCTGCCACTCATTTGAATATTACAAAAACAGAAATTATGTAATAGTGAAGGTTATAATTTTGTGCTGAATATTTTTATGCTACTTTCTCAAAGCACAGATAGAGAAAGGAAGAAAATATAAAAACTCACAAGGACAGATTTCAACAGAATTTGAAAATAAAAAAAGAATATTTTTATTTTCTAGCATTGTTATAATACTATTAATTATTAAATGTAGGTCTGCAGCTGTTGAAAAATATTTATTTTCTAATAAAATATTTTTTAGAATATACTATGTAACATAAATACACACACGCAATACTTACTCATTTTCTTCAATAGCAGAATTTCTCAAACTTTCTCTTAAGCTTTTACTTGTTCCGTGATCGTTTGCTTCTTCCGCGATCTTCCGTTTATTACTTTTCTTGACAAAGCGGTTTCAATGAATTCTCCGAAATCGAATGTATTAGTATACTGGATTAATTTTGAATGTTATTCCATTTATTTGCTTTCCGTGGCTTTTCAAGCAGCTTCATTGGCATCAGATCTCTCGAAACGAAAGATCATTTCCACGCCTTCGCAGTGAGCTATGAAGAAATGAATAGGAATTTTCTTTGTACCTTCTCCGTAGTTTTCTGGACTAATCATTCTGCCTTATCATTTCAAAAAAGTTTTGATAATTTATAATATTCTGTCACAAGGTTAGAAACTAACTCGCATAAGAAGCGCTGTTGAATATTGTCATAGCATTCTTCAAATAAAATTCTACAGAAAACACACAATAATGTGGTTTCGGTTTCAATTTTGAAAACATGGTTTCGGGTAAGATTTCTCCTGTTTTGCGTTTTCAATCAATTTTGATAGTCATCTTGTTGGAAATCACTAGTTTGGCGAGATTACCAAAATTATCACATTTTTAAAATGATGATGGCAGAAACTGTCCAAGGACCACTTAAACCTAGAGGTTACCATTAGACGGCCAGAATTGGAATACAAATGTTACGAGTTGATTTTTTTTTCAGCTAGCAAACATTAGACATTTTATTATTATTTGTATTGTGTTATTTCGTCGTTTTAAAAATATCCAACGAAAAACAATTCTGATGGCCCAGAAGAGCGGAGCTGTAAGTTTCACAGAGATAAGAGGCGGAAGTCAAAAGAAACTGCAGAGATTTGTCAATTACAGAAAAGCCAAAAAACTTACATTACCTCATCGCGCTGTGATGATGTTTGAAAGCTGTTTTTCTCGTATAGACATGTTAAAATTCTTGGAGTAAGTCTGATCAAATGAAAATAGGTTCTTTGCAGACATCTTCAAGCGCTCTAGCGAAAATTACTACTCCACAAATTCGGAGGATGAAACTACTTGAATAAAACAAGAATGATATAGGGGCCATATTAAAAGGATCGTCATGCTACCTTCTGTTCTGCAGAGTTATTTCTGATTCTATATATTTAAATACGAATGACGTGCACGTGAGAATTTACACACTATAACTTGATACAAAAATTGTGCTCATATGTAAGTAATTTTAAATCGCACCTTAACAATTTTATAACAATAGAATTTTCAAACTATATAACAGTTTAAATTATAGTTTAAAAAATTGAAGAAAAAATGAAGCTGCATTACTCTGATTTATTTTCCAAAAAGAATTAGCGTGACAGTAGTTTTCCTATGCTGTATAGTATATCTAACGGGAACCAAGCATAAATAAAAAATATATCATTTGATACACATTTGTATGATTTCAGACATTTTATGCTGTCTTGATAGGTGCAAAACCAGACAGATATCACAATAGATATTTTGCATGATAAAGTCATTTAGCTGAATTCAAGAACACTCACGTTTGTATTAGGATATGGGTAGCGAGAGTAAATTGATTACAGCCAGAAAAAATTTCTGTACAAATTTTCTCAATCATAGTGTTTGGCAGATGGCGTTTTAAAGTAAAAAATAGAGATTTTTTTTTTGTTTTTTTTGTTTTAGAATATATAAATTCTGATATTGTTAGACATTACCTTATATAAGAGAAAAGAATGGTTTTCGAATAAAAAGCATGCCATGTGCATGAAACTTCCATTTCCTGCATTTGGTTAGAAACTTCCATTTCTTCTTCATTTCCATCTTCGAGACCAGGTAGTTCGTGCTGTAAAGCAAGAGGAGTTAAATCGTCTTTCTACCGTTCGGTAAAATACCCGTTTTTGGGCAAAGAGTGTTTTATTTTAGTTAGAAATTGATTCTTCCCATGTTACAACAACCTTATCCGCGAAATGTTCGGCGTCTAAATTTATTTTTCTTATCAGTATCGTTCTATGGCTTCAAAATTTCCAGGCAATATAAATATCCGGGTTAAATTTCCATAAGCGGGGTAAGTTGGCACCAAACTATTTTGGCCTTCAAAATTTGGCGAATTTTTTAGGCGCACTAAATGAAAGCACTAAAATGTGATTTTTAAACATAAACAGAATAGTAACTTTTAAGTTTTGCAGTAGTGAAACGCCGTTATGCTCTGCAAAACTCACTTTTTCTGAGGGTAATTCCTTATTAAATTTTTCGTTTTTTCTATAACAACTGTTGTTAAGAAATCTAAAGATCCAAACAAATACTCTCACATTTTTATAATATCGAGAAAACCGAGTGAATGTTTCTGTGAAGTTTGGGGTTCTACAGGAAAGGCTAGAAACCACATTTTCCCTTTTTCTGAATTAACTGTACTTTCATCAGTTTCTGACTCTTCAGAGAGAGGCCATTTATCCGTCTCCTGTTTAAGCCAATCCGGCCCCTTCCACCCTCTGCTCTGTAGCAACATTTTGGCATCGCACCCTTTAGAGGGAAGATCAGCTGGATTGCTTAAGCTTGGTACATAATGCCAGTCGTCCGGATTTGTGCATCTCCTTATTTCAGCTACACGATTGGCCACAAAAACACTCCAGTGGGAGTCTTTTTTTATCCATGTCAGAACTACAGACGAGTCGCTCCAAAAGTACACTTGGCACTTTGTCAATTTAAGAGCGTCAATGACTTGACTGTACAGCCGAGTAGCTATAAGTGCTCCAAGCAACTCTAATCTGGGAATAGTTACTTCTTTGGCAGGCGCTACTCTTGATTTACATAATACCAATTGTACTGAAGTTTTGCCCTCAAAATATGCATGTAAGAAAATGCATGATGCATAAGATACCTTACTAGCATCACTAAAACAATGTAGAGAGATTAAGCAGTCATCGAAGGGTCCAATCACAAGTCTTCTTGAAATTTTACAATAATTCAAGAAGTGTAGTCTTTTGAGCCAAGCCTGAAATTCTCTTTCTATACTTTGTGGAAGATTTTCATCCCAGGTAAGTTTCATCTTCCATGTTTTTTGCAGAATGAGTTTTGGAATTAACGTGGTTGGACTTGTAAATCCGATGGGATCGAATATCCTCTGTGAGACTGACAGAAGAGGTCGTTTCGTGTGGGCACTCTCCGAAAATGTCATAGGGGTTAAATTGCAATAGATTTCATCATTCTCGGTGTCCCATGAGAGTCTCAGAATTGGAATGACCTTCTGATAGGAAGTCATGCTTCTATCTTTGAATGGTGCAGCAGTCCAACCTCTTAAGGTCGAAACCTCCTGAAGACATTAGAGTTTGGGACTCTTCTTTGAACTTGACTACTTCTTCTTCGGTTTCGAAACTAGCTATACAATTGTCGACATAAAAGGATTTCCTCAATCTAAGTGCTGTTCCTCTTAAATCTTGTGGAACATTATCCAAATGGTAAGAAATCGTTGCTCCGAACAGGAATGGACTTGAAGAAATGCCGAACACGACACGACAGTGTCTATAGGTAACAATTAATTCACGACCCTCAACTTACTTAGAAGACGGGACTGCGGAGTTAAAGCCATTGGCACCTGCATATTTTATAGAAGGAATCCCTCATCATGATGTAAAGGATCTGGATACTATAGACAGCAAAAGTTTAAATTGGTATTTCTTTGCAAATTCTGCAAATTCTTTACTTGCAAACTGAGGTCCATTATCAGATATCACTAT